GCCCTCTGTTTCGTTCAAGACCAATGGTTACCGAAAAGCTAAACATACCACAGCTAGAGGGGAAAAAAAGAAAGCCAAATAGGAGCACAGAATATACAAGCTTTGAAAGAAACTGAGACCACAGAACTGAGCACAAAGGAACATATCCCTTGTAGATATGCTACTGAAGATCCATACTACTGATTTCTGAGCTCAGAGCCCTCCATGTAAATAGAAACTCTAAGGAATATCAATGGGTTTTGACCAGTCTCCTAATAGAAAAGGCCTAAGAAACTCTTCCAAAGTCACTGGCAGATAACTTTTAATACTAAAATACATACACACATTGCAAATTTGTTTCTATCCTACAATTATATCTTTTCAGTTACTTTTTTAGGTTTTGGTGACATTTAATAACCTAGAATGTCTAAGAAACAAACATCTCTTTCCTGTTCAGTCAGACCTCAGATTAAACAATGTGTGAACAAAGTAAGTAAAAACTATAAGGAATGTTTTTAGACCTCAAGGAAATGCCTGAAAACCTGACAAAGAGCAAGACATGCAAATGACACACAAAAGACATACAAATCAAAACTTCATCACTGGAGATCATCAAAACCAGGGCTGACAACTCTCTGGCAAAGGGGCTGTAACAGAAAATGCTGTAGGAAAAGCAAATGGCTTAGAGGAAACCAGAACTATTTTCCAACACTTAAGTACCAGTGAATGAACCCATTGAGCCCCTACGTCCCTCTGTCTACTCACATGTGTAGAGGGCTGTTCTTCTACACAAGATATATTGTTCAAAGGGGCCAGTCTTTCCAACATTAACTCCTTTATGCAGTATATTCTTTGCAAAACACCATTAGGCTTTGGAACTGGATTCTTATTTCGTAGGCATTAAATCATAAACTCATAAAAATCTCTCCTTCTCCTGTTTCATTAACACCGATCTACTCTGCCATTTTGGCTCACCACAGAAAATCAACAGGTAAGAGCCTTAACAAAGCTCCCAATGTGTAAGCCTGAGGCAGAGACTGTTCATCATGTGCTTTTAAGGTGTAGCCAAAAAAATCTCAAGAGTTAAAGCCTACAGTAGTGAGGATCTTGAATGCTGCAAGCAAGCAAGAAGGTACCGAAGTCAGTAAGTACATTTCTCCAGTAATTCAGCCACAGCAAAGTAGCTCCTCAGCTGGCACTTCTGAATCTGGCCACATCTCTGAGAAACGGCATGGAAGCTGAATTACAACACTTGAGTACTTCCAGAGAGCATTCAGTGCTATCCATCCTTCATAATAACACTAACATGTCCCCTACCATCTGTAAACCACTCTTCCTCTGCATTCAGCAAATTTGCATGCTTTTGGTTTTTGCTGGAAGTGCTACAGGAAGCATTTAAATACACAATGCCTCCCATGACCAAGGAGTTTCTGAAAACTTCTACCTGAAAGTAAAAAGGGAGTATGGATCCTTGGAGCTCTTAGCACACACCTGCACAGGGATGATCTAATGATTAATGTTGCACATTGCCTAAAAATCACTGCTTGTTTTAATTGAAAACAAAACAGAAGACACACACTTTCAAAACTGGAAGTACAACTGCTACCAACCACTTTGTCCCCTTATTGACCATCTCATCAGTGAGGCCAATGAACAACCATTCAAAGACACAGCACCTCAGAAGGAAATGTCTCCTGGACATTTCTCTGTCCAAGTCTCATTGAAGGCACAATGGCAGAGCAATGGATTAAAAGAAAGAGATTAGAGAACGGGAATCAAGATGGATTTGCATGATCATGCCCAACAGACTTCTGTTGGATTGAGAATTTCAGTCTCCATGCTCAGCTATGGAATAACAGAATGAACCAATTTGGAAAAGACATTTAAGATGATCCAGTCCAGCCGTTCCCCAGCACTGGCAAGGCCACCACTAACGCATGGCACTGAGGCCTCGTCTCCACGCTGTGTGGACTTGCAGGGACGGTGCCTGCAGCCCTGCCCTGGGCAGCCTGTTCCAATGCCTGAGCACCCTCTGGGGCAGGAATTGGTCCTCAGCTCCATCTAAACCTGCCCTGGGGCAGCTTGAGGCCGGTTCTTCTTGTCCTATCAAGAGGAGGTGGCTGAGAGAAGAGACCAGATACCTCCTGGCTCCATCCTCCTTTCAGGTATCTATCAAGCAGAAGACACTGTATTTCCATTTATATGAACTTTGTTTGAATTTATTTCTTGCCATCTTCATAGCTTTGAATGCAGGATCAAATTTTACAGTGAAAAAGTTGCAGATGCGACTATTCATAATCTTAGTCAGATACAACACTTGGCATCTGACGCAAAAACTGCTCACATACACCTCATTCCTGATTAACAAAACCAGCCTGGGAACACAAAGATAGAGTGCAAGATGCGATCTAACCCAGTCTAATTATGAGAGGAAATTTCAGATGCTAACAGCCTCAACTAACCTATCTTTCAGAAGATTCTAATCTCAAAAATATGGTTATATATCGCCGCCTACCTCCAAAACTCCGTCACTATGTCTGTGTGCGCAAGCGCATGGTGGGTTACGCTGCACACCCCCTATTAGAACCTGAACCTATATGTTCCTGCTTCTGTTCTCTCCTAAGTAACAGTGTGCTTGGCCTCAGAATTTCAGGCCTTTGGTGGAAGTGTATTTTTTAAACTTGGAATATTGCGATTATGAATCTGCCATGCATTATTAATGATGCTCAATATTCAAGCTTTGCTCTAACTGTAAAACAACCACGTAAGAATACAACAGAAAAATACAATAGTGACTTCTGACAGGCCTCACTGAGGGATGACTTGCTAGTCACTTCAAGCCTTTTTAATTTTCTTTTTGATTGCCTAAGGCAAAGCATGTAATCAAAGAGTAGCGCTGAACAGAGGTCTTGTGTTCTACATGGAAACTGCAGCAAGTTCACAAAGTCAGGGCTGAGCACAGAAGGCAAGAAAGAAATGAAATCTCAGGGCAATGGGAATCGAAACTACCACATCCATGTAAAACTGTCCTTAAAAATGGGAAGAAAGCCAAAAATAAGCCTACTTTAGTATTGCAGGGAAAATATGCCACTACCAAAGGCAGAAAGGCGGTGCCACTGCCACAGAGCATCAAAACTTGCTGAGTGCCATATTTGACTTACTGGATAGCCATGATGGAACTGACAGGAGAATTTAATTTCAACTCAGTAAAAGCAAATACTGGATCACCTTGATGACAGACATAAAAAAACCCCACATAATGTAACCCCCTCAAAGTTCTAAATAGTAACTAGGAACCACACAGCATTTCACAAGTTCACAAGACAAGGACAAAGGTTCCCAACAATAATTTTCCTTTATCTTTCCTTCTAAGATACGTAGAGATGTTATAGATAAGACATACAAATGACCTACAGTCTGTAGCTGTTTACAGTCATTTCATCCTCAGCTCTGTATCTTGAAGAGCTCCCTCTCCTTTGGCCCATGTCACCAAGTTCATTAGGGCTGATGGCCATTGTTCAGTGTCCAGCTCAATTGCAGCTAAAGCAGCTCTGGAGCTAGCTGGAGAAATGGTGGTACTTCAATACCAGAGCTCAGGCTAGCAACCAGCCAGGCTAAATAAATAATGAAGCATGGTATTCTAACAGATAATATAAATACACCTCCAGCAAATTGCTTGGGTCCAAAGGTCAGGCAACTTGTTTGCTCTGTCTTCCAAGAATTTGTAAATCTCAACATGATGTTTAAACACAAACATCTACAAACAGCAAAGTTCAGTGCTGACATATTTTGCACCTCAAAGTTGCATGCCAGAATAGCTCTATACCACACAGAGAAAACTGCAAAGCATGTGTAAGGAACTGACAAAACAGTATGCAAATTTTTCTTTAAATATCCTCTCATTCTGTATTTTTCTCCTTCTTTATTCTCTCTTGACTCTCATTCACCCTTTCTTACACAGAGGAGTATTTATGCAGCTGTCTAATTTCATGATTCCTTCCTTTCATTACCCATAAAGGAGGAGATGAAACTTTAAATCTCAAGCCTTGTTTCAGGGTATGTGTGGGGTTTGTATTCCTGGTTGAGTCACACATATGGAGACACCTGTACGTATGAAAACACAAGGTTTGAAGGTAAACCACCAGTTCCTGAGCTAGAGAATGGACACACCAGCTACATGGGCATTTCCAGGCTGTTGTGCAGACAGACCAGGCTTTGAGACTCTCTCCCTTTTCCTCTCCCCTAAAGGAAACCTGCAAACAACCTCACAACTACTCACATTGTGCTTTTCTTCCTTGCTAGGTTCTCATTCATCTCATCTTTTGAACAGCTCTGGACAGGCCAAAAGTGAAAACCAAGGGACTTCGGAAAGCACAAGAAATGAGTCTTGCAAGTGGAAAACGACTGGGGTGAAACTGAACCCTTCTCCCCACGTTCCCAAGAGCCAGAGCTCCATACACCATCTGCCCCTTTCTGAGTCAAGACCCCTTGGGGGTGACAAGCGTAGTGTCATACTGGGTGACAGACAGTGGCAAGGAGAGCCAAGGAGAGCCTGAGGCTGGCACCAGAGATCAGCTGCACCCTCCCTGCTTGTACCCAGTCTTAGCAACCAGGACTGCCAGGAAGCAGCCTATGAATAGAAATGCAAGCGAGCAGTAGCTTCACGCCTGGGAATCACCCAGCTCTCCTCTCCCTGCCACATGAAAACCTTGGCTGGAGCAAAACCCTCCACTTTGTCAGCAGAGAATTCACAAGGGAAGCCCTTTCTTTCTCACTATCACATTTTCTTTGATGAGCTGGGAAAAGAGAGGATGCAGGGAAGGAGGAGAGCGGGCAACTTCTGAAATGTAAGTCAGTGTAATGGCTCGGCACGCTGGGTTTTCAACAGATTAGTGCCCCTTCTCCCCTCTCCAAGGTGATCCCCTCAGTCCCACCGAGAGAAAAGGCTGTTAACCTCCGAGTGGAAGGCTCCGGAGCAGAGCAGAGCAGCAGGTGGGAGCTCCCCTCACACCCATGCTCACCTTCCTGGCTCCTCGCTTTGCGAACTCCCTGGCCAGATGCCGGCCGATGCCTCTGCCGCCGCCGGTGACCAGCACGTTCTCCCCAGACAGGTCCCGGAGCTTGGGTGGCAGCACCATGCACACGGCAGCTTTCACCACCAGGTAAACCATCTGCACAGGGAAAAGCAGCAGAGCGCCCAGCCACTTCCAAATCATCCTCTTGTTCCAGGCAAGCCAGGAAGGCAAAATCCTCTTCCAACCCTTCACGAAACCAAGTTGACAGAGAAAGAAATCCAAGACCCTTCATGCACCCCCAGATGGGTGACAAGTCTTCCACCCCCTTCCAAACCTTGGGAGACGAGAGATTCCTGGACTGGCAAAAAGCCTTCTCTCCCCCTAAAAAATATGGGGTAGGAGTAAAGTAGTACAGAAGACCAAGTCACTCCCCTGTTTCTTGATGAGTGTCCTCTGAGATTGTCACATGCAGGTAAAATGGTTTCCTTGCTTTTTAACTGGAAGACAGGTTTTTTTAAATTAAAAGAGGGGGGGGGAAAGAAAAAAAGTGAAATTAAAAGTAACTATCCATCCCTCAGCTTCAAGGACCAACATAAAAATCCAGTATCCAAATGGAAGGCTTTTATATTTGGAAAAATAAAGCAGCCTATGTCTCCAAATTTCAGCCTGCAGTGCCTTCCAAACGGCTCATTTCTATTCTTAGACTCAGGAAATTGCTTAAATAAGACAGAACTGCTAGGACCTTCTTTTTAAGAAAGGCTCAACTCAGGGTAAGGTTGTTGGTTTTGTTTTCATATCTATAAATATCTGTAGCCGTTCTGTCCTGAGCCGGTTGCAGAGGTTGAGCTGTTATCAAACCGCCTCTCGCTGCCCCCTCGCCTGGTTTTTCACTTGGAGTGTCTGAGATCACAGAGCAGGAATTACGCCATGCACTATTTCAGCGCTGGCTCTTGCTCATTTCTCCCTATGGCGCTCTCTGGCTATCACAGCCGCGGCGCTGGGGAGGTTTTTATACCCCATTAAGCCTGATTGACAGTTAAAGTGTCGGGGAGCTCTCACTACTGTTGCTGTGAGTGGCTGGCTCGGCTCGGCTCGGCTCGGCTCGGCTCGGCTCGGCTCTCCTCTCCTCTCCTCTCCTCTCCTCTCCTCTCCTCTCCTCTCCTCTCCTCTCCTCTCCTCTCCTCTCCTCTCCTCTCCTCTCCTCTCCTCTCCTCTCCTCTCCTCTCTCCTCTCTCCCTCCTCCCCTCCCCCGAGCTCTCCCGCAGCCGCCGCACACCAGCTCCAGCACGCAGCCCGAGGCGGGCGCTGCCTGCGAGTCGGGGCTGGCTGCGCGCTGCGGCGGTCCCCGGGCTCCGCCACCCGGGCAGGCAGCCCCTGTCCCCGCGGCCCCCCCGCCCGGGACCCCCTGCTCCACCCGCCGGACCCTCAGCTCAGGAACAGGCAGCGTTAAGGCTCTGTTCGAATCTTGGAGCTCGGGCACAGAAGTGCTGGCCCAGGATAAGCTGGTGTGGGGAGGGATGGTTCCTTCAGCGCCGGATTGCCAGGCTGGATCCAGCTGACCATCAAAATCTAACACTGCACCAATGTTTTTATGGACAACACAAAAACTCATGGATTTTCCGTGCTGGAAGATGCTTGCACTGCTGAAAACTGGTGCTGGAGTAGTGGGACAATAAGAGGCAGGCTCGGTATGAAGGAGGGAGACACTTCCTCATAACAAAGGATGGGTTTTTCTCTCTACTTTTCCAAGCCCTTTTTGTCCGGTTAGGAAGGCATAGTTGCAACACAAGAAGGACTCCACAGCACTTTGGACTCTGTTGTAACAGGAGAAAAGGCAAAGCTTCTTGCAACACTGCCCCCCAGCTTGGTTGTTGGCACTGTAAACCACGAGGCAGGTATGGTTTGTTTTAGCTGCGCTGATGAAGCGTTTCTGAGGAGGATCTAACTGCACATCTGAACTGAGAGCACTGCTGGAGCTTTGACAGCGACCAGAAATAACCTGATAATCCAGTATGCAAAGCTTTGAAGGTGTCACAAAAAGCTCAAGGGTGTCAAACCTCCATTGCTGTCTTCATAGCTGAGCTGGAAAGAACTTAAGACTTTGCATCTGTATATATCAGTAAGAATGTGCTAAAATGAATCTAATCCCACGTTAATTCAGGAGGTCGGGTCTATACCCACTATCCTGGGAAGCCATCTAGTGGTAAAAGCTACAATTGCTGGAAAATGACACTTGAAAGACACCTTCCAACTTCATGTTACTAAAGTAACCCCTGCAATGGAAGTGTATGATCTAAGCACTTACATACAGGTAGCCAAAGTATTACACAACCAATAGAAATTAATTAGGAAGCTGAGTCCCTTTGAAAAGAATTTCAATTTTATGCCGTGGAATCAATCAGACATTTCTGGAAGCAGGCATTGTTCAAAGGGGCCACAAGGTAAGTGTTCAGGGGTTATTTGTTCTCAAAGAGAAGAGTAACTGAGTTCCTGGTGTCACCCACATTTAAAATCTTTATCACACACGAGATTTTAAACATAAAATATGAAGAACGTGTAAATCCTTGAATTTCAGCTCTGTTAAAAGTTCCACCGAAGTTTTCAGAAAAAAAGAAAATAAAATTTAGAGAGAAACTTGCAGAGTTCTTACCTTTAAATGGCAGGTCTCCTCATAACAAATTAGCCATATGACTATCACTGCATCATCACTGAGTGTCAGGAGAGAGCTTTTTGCAGAGAAGATGAAGCTCCTAACCAGACTGGGGTCAGGTGGTACTCCCTAACTTAGCTGGATCTGAAACAACCAGAGCTCAAAGACTTCCCACTGCTGCTTGGCAGCGTTTAGCACCTCTGTGTGTTTTCACAGTAATACCTTTGGAAACGGAGCTAGGGGAGGACCTGTCATTCTAATTTTCCTCTCAGTCCAAAAACTCTGAGGAGGAGAGAGAAATTACATGGACAGCTTAGTGCCTGGTTTAGACTAGAATGACTCAGTGTCTGGACTGATAACAAATATAACAACTTGCCAGTATGGACATAAGGAGCAGTGTTCAAAATGAAAGGATATGAAGTTCATCAAAGTAACTCCGATTTTTTGATTCCTAACTTCAGTCTCTTTATGCATAAATCACCACAGACACATTTAAAATAGGAAAGTAAGTAATATTACAATTAACCTGTTCATATTAAAACAATTCATTGTTTAATACATCTGCAGATCCTTTGAAGTCAGTGGGAATGGAATAATCTTGTGAATATGGATTTCAGTCTCTTCCCAGCTTCAAGAATACCTTAAAATGCATTGAAAGTATTTGGGCTTTTTTCATTCATTATGATTTTGGTTTATTGATCTATGTGCAAAGTTGTTACCATTTGGAGTGGGAGTAAAAAGATAGTTCTAGATATTTAAAATTTTCCTCTTAAAATTTCTTGGAAGTATGAACTATTTTACTTCTTTACTACTTTACTTTAGATTTACCTTGAAGCACTGAAAACCAGGAGTCACTGCACTGTACAGATGTACAAAAGCAAGAAGCAAAAGCAGACTTACAGCAAAACTGAAGTTGCTGCATCTTGTATGTAATAAATATGGTGAAAAGTACATGCAAGTTAAGAATTCACCTACTATGGCCAACAAGTCAAATACCTTCAAATTCCACACATAGTATGTAGAACACTGAGAGCAGCTGAGGTTTGTCCCTCTTAATTGCAGTTCCACTCTGAAAAGTGGGGAAAAATAGTATTCTGGGACTGTGCTCTATTTTGGCAAGAGGTCTTTTCCCAAACTGCCACTTTTACAAAACCAACATACGTTTTTGTTCAGAGTTGATCTCTGGTTGTGTGATCCCCTAACCAGACCTTCACGTAGGTTTGGTTATCCAGACTCCTTACAGAAAACATCTAGAGGTGCAGCCAGCCAATTGGTACATACCTTTGTTGATGGTAACAAGGATCTGTCACATCACAGCAGTTGTTCCTAACTGTAAGTTAGAAGTCCCAAAGTGAATCCCTTCATGTTTCTGCTCACAAGTCTTTCACCACTGCACTGTCCTGTTAATTTTGTAGAACTGCATCAGTTGCTGCAGCTTGGTTGCAGAATTAACTTTGAATTTTGGAGAGTTGCACAGTACTCAACTGTTTGTTTCCTATACAGACACTCACAATGAAGCATTAATTGAAAAACAAAAAACAACCCAGACACTTGGTTTAAGCCCTTTTCATGGCACTTCAAACTACTAAACTTTATTCCAGTCTGCAACAAGGGAGTCATGTAATACATCTCAGCAGTAACTCGTTCAGTTTTGGCTTCCACTTGTCTGTTTAAATTTCTGGGTTTGTACTTCTTAACAGAAGTGTAAAGGAATACAGCTTTAACAGAGTTTTATAAATCTATTCTGAATTAATAAGTTCAAATTTAGATCATCCCTGAATGACCCACGTGTGGGACCACTGCTGAAAAGATGCCTTTATGCTTTCTGAATATTTAACCACAGTAGTGCCTGATTGTAATAGCCCAGCTTAAAAATAAACGTGTTGTTCACATTTAGGCAAGCTAATTTAAAGGGAGGTTAGGAAGGCCTTTTGTAACTGAAACCTAGCTTTTGGACCACAGTTAGCATAGATTTACTTATACTCTCAATGAGAGTCATAGAAACCTACTGCTTTTTACTTCCAGTCTTGAAGGAAAAAAAGAGCAGTGAAAAGGCAACATTTACTTCTAAAATAAGTTGAAACACTCTCTTGCATAACACACTCGCATAACATACATATCTTGCATACACATCACTTGCATAACAAAGGTCCATTTTTGCAGAATAGTGTTACATGGATCTATGAAGAGGCTTGGGCAGAACATCTGAATGCTTAGAGCTTCATGTTGCACCTCTGTGTGTTGGCAGAACTCTACATTGGCTCACAAAGCCTTTGCAGCCAAGTTCCTAGCAAACTTGAAAGTTTGTGCAAATGAAGTTCCTAAACTGCAAGAGCTTTTGACAGGAAAAGGAGCTGGAAATTAAAAGCATGCTCAATGCATGTCTGGAAGCTATTTGGGCTAAGAATTCTGTGTTTTCAGCTTAGAAAACTACACCCAAATATATACAGGACATTGGTAAGCAGCTGGGAAAAAACTGGGAACACAGAGCAGCACTGTCACACAGTGGAAAGTCTGTTACTGGTGTGTTAAGAAATAACAGTTTTTTACATCACTGCAAGGCTCTACCATGGACAATCTGTCACTATCGCAGATTAAAACTAAACCTCCTTTAAAAAAGGAAAACCTTTTGCCAAGTTGGTCTGGTTTTTGTTACATGAAGCACTGCTGTCAGATTTGGATAAATCAAGAGCTAAATTTTTTGCTTCTTGATTTCATTCTTCCCTTGAGTTCACATTTTCCATTTAAATGTGTCCCAGTGGTTCTATGATTTCACACTGTCCCTGTGTGTGCTATTAAGCATTAAGAGTCTGATACTGTTGCCTTGTAAGTGGAGCTGTGCTATGGACTAAACTCAAATGAACCACGTTTCTGTTTAACTTCCAGCCTTGTGCAAAAAGCTACATGTGGATGTGTTGCTGCTTTTCCAGGCTCTCACAACAAACCGGTATCATGAATAAGACATAACAAATGTCCGAGTAATTCTAAATTCTAGGTGACATCCCTTTCTAGATTCAAGATGCATAAAGATAATTGTCTTTATAAGCAGTACAGCATTTTCAAAGTGCACGCAGGTACTAGCTGGAATTCAGACAAAGGGATGCAACAGCAAGAAAAGAAAACATCTTTCAAATTCTTAGTCATCTTAGTACGTGTAGGATTTTGTCATTTGTACTAACTGTCCTTCTTTTTTCTTTAATGCTTTGATTAGAAGCCAAATCTGTCTCAATCTGTCTCAATCTGTTATCCTTTTTCTTCATATTGGGAGACAGTGAAAAATACCACATGTAAACAGGAATGGAGGGACTACATTTTGTTAGACTGATTGACTCATCTTATTTTCTCTATATTTACCATTCCTTCTGACTAATTCCTCAGACCTGACAAAACTTATAAGACACACAAGGAATGAGGGAGGCAGAAGAATT